ACAATTCCCTCCCCCACAATAAGACTGTGAATGGGATGGAATAGCACTCCCATAATTATGTTACCTTATATGCCAAAGGTTTGCAGACGTCAAGTCCTGAATCAGTTAACTTTGACTTACTCAAAAGGGAGATTCTGGCCCTGGCTGGTGTAGCTCAGTGCATTGAGCACGGGCCTGTGAACCAAAGGATCGCTGTTCGATTCCCAGTCAGGGCACATGCCTGGGTTGCAGGCCAGTTCCTAACAGGGGCCAGTTCCCAGCAGGGGATGCCGGAGAAGAAACCATACATCGATATTTCTCTCTCTCTCTCTCTCTCTCTCTCTCTCCTTCCCTTCCCTTCTAAAGATAAATATATAAAAAAAATTTTTTTTAAAAAGGGAGATTCTGTTGGGTGGGCCAAACCTAACCAGCATTTTCAAAGCCAGTCAAGTATCAGAGAGATGACCTGCCAGCCTGGAAGAGAGCAAACACGTAATAACTGTGTCTGAAACTGTCCCCAGAGGGGCCCACAGGGTTAGGACTAAGGGTGGCTCAAAGAGCCTAGAGAGAACACAGCCAGCAAAAAATAAGAAACTTGGTCCCAAGACTGCCCGAAACTAAATCCTGCCAACAAGCTGAATGAGGTGCAGAGAGGACCCGGAGACCCAGTGGGAACATAGCCCAGCCACACCTGACTTTGCACTTCACGTGATCCTGAACAGAAAACCTAGATATGCCCTGCTTCTGACCTAGAGAAACTAGGAGATAAACAATGAGTATCGGTTTAAGTCACTAAATTTGCAGTGATTTGTCATGCATTGACTGAAAACTAACAGACAACCCCAATATACTCAATAAAAAAAAGAATGCCAATGGGGTATATATGAAAAAGAGAAAAGGAACAACAACAAATAAAACATACAAACCATCTTTGTATTTATATCCCATTTCTTAATGCTCATCTTAAGAGGAGCGTGTAGGAGTGATGGAAGGACAAACTGCGAAGCAGTTCTAGTACCACCTCTAAGAGATGAGGCTATTTTAGACCAGGCCATTTTACACACAATCTGCTAATGACAATAACTGAGAAGAAATCCAGGAAACAACAGCGATTGGTAAATCACTGTAGTATTTAACCTCAGGCAATAACTCTGGAATGCTGGAAAGAGCTTTTATCTCTGAAAATCTCTGAAGACAGACTCGTGCCCAATTGTTACTGCTGCTGTTTTTCCAGGTCCTTCCCTACGAAAGCTCACTGAAAAATTGATTAGGACTTCTATTTGTTAATGGCTTTGATCATTTATATTCACAAATCATACAGTGTCAGGATATTTTTAATCACAGAACTATGAATTCTTATGAATTCATATTGGTGTATATCTCATAAAATTATCCACAGCTGAAACAGTCTACAAGAAATTTCATTAATGTTGGCATCATTAAACAAAAGGCTACAATCTGTACCAGATATCTACAGATCGATTTCAACAGAAGCAATGTTCCACACATCTATGAAATACTGCAAAAACAGAAAAGTTTATCTGATCCATAAAAATGTCCTAACATCAGAAAATTGGTTTGAGACCTTGAAAGTTAAGATGTGAGAAAAAAAACGAAGGTTACCATTAACTGCCTTACAATTTCTCATTTTGACTACAATACTGTCACCAAATCAAAGGAAAAGACTTAGGTAAAATTTTCAACACCCCAACTAACTCCTTACATCTTATATATCTGCAATGAGTTTTGATCTCTTATAATTTCTCCGTCAGACTCTCAAGCTACTGAAATGGAAACCATTCATTCTCCTTTCTCACTCAGCAAGGAGAGTCGAGTTAGCACCCTACCAGTTCTGCATCCTGCTCTTTTAGGAGTTGTACCTTAAAAATATAACGTTATCTACCATGTTTAGACACTGCCACCTAATGAACTCTTGGTCACCACCCTTCATCCTCCCATTACTCTGAGTATTGGATAAAGTCCACACAACAATATTGCACCCTATCCTTTCACATCCGTATCCCCATCATTCCCGATAGGAAACCTCAACACTTCAGCCTCCCACTACCGGGGTCTCATCTGTACTGACAACAGACACAAATTCACGTAAGTGCTCTAAAGAAATAAGCTCAGAAATGCAGAGATGTGAGCATAGAGGAGGAGTCCCCCATCCAAAACGCGAGGATGGGGTAACCTGCATAAGTTGACACTGGAGGGGAGCGAGTACCAGGGGTGAAACATAAAACAGAAGAGTCACACAAAGGCTCACTCAGGAAAAGCACTAAATAGCACGCAAAGAGCTCTACATCCTACAGGCATTTCAACCATATTTAAACAGCACTGCTCCAAGCAGCATTGGTCAGAGATGTCTCGGGGGATATGTTCATCACTGAGAAAAAGTCAACCCTGAGATATAGGCATTATATTTGCATTTTAAAATAAAGACACTAAAATTCACGGAAGGCAGGTGGTTTGTCTGATGTCATATAATTAGGGGCTGAGTTGTAACTGAACCATTTGTCTGACTCGACAACCTATGGTCGTTAACTATTACTGTCATAACTATTAGGTCCTTAAAAGCAACTAAGGTCCACTCTTGATTCCAGGCTCAACTTTAGACTTCAATGTGTTTTCCCCAGAATGAAGGAATACACCATTGGTCCCAAGTCCACCTGGGACTTAGGTCAATAACACCTAACATAGTAAATTAAGTCCCAACTTCTATACTTTTTGGTTCAGTGGTGTTAAATTTTATATTGGGCATATGTTTCTAGAGTCAGCAAAGGAAAAAGCCTTGTACGGTCAAAAACAATCCTGGAGTACCCCTAGAAAAGTACCACACTTTTCTCATTTCCAGTGAGAACCTCTTCTCATTTCCAATAGAGAATGTTTTTCTTCCACCCACTATTGGAAGAGACCACCATTTTTAAACTGAGTACTAGATAGAGAACTGAACAAGATTTCAGGGATACACATGTTCACTGAGCAAGGTATCAAAATATCAACTATTTAAGTCATCATTTTGCTCTTCTCTCTTCTTTAAACAAAACTGGTGTATTCTGCGAACCACCATACAATTCAGGCATAGCTCAGAGATGATGACGGTCTGGTTCCAGGCCATCTCAACAAAGCGAGTCCTAAACTTTTTGCTGGTGGAGGCGCTTGCCTTCAATTCACTGAAAATGCAACATCTGTGAAGTGCAATAAAATGAGGTATGCCTGTATTAGACTCTCCTGTTTAAAAAAAATAAAAGCGGTTTTGGAAGAAAATCTTTTTTGATCTTCAACAATTTTCTTCTTAATTTTTAATTAAAAAAAGATTTTTTAATTTTCTTTTTTAAATTCATTTTAATTGTTGTTCAAGTGCAGTTTTGTCTTTTACTCCCAACCCAGCCCACTCCCCCAGTGCTCCCCACCTCCCTCCCATTTCCACCCCCCTTAGTTTTTGTCCATGTGTCCTTTATACCTGTTCCTCATTTTAAAAAGATTTTAATGAAAACATTATCATAATTTATAATTATACTAGATTAACAAATGTTTTCACATAACAAATCAAAATTGAAGATGCTAAGATGCTTTACATATATACATTTTTTAGACTTTTTAGTTTTTTCTTTCAACTGAAAGCTGCTGGGATCACTATGACCCTTCTAGGAGATAAAACAATTTCTATGGTGTCCATGGAAAGAACCTATTTTTTAATCTCTTACCTTTCTTAAGAAAAATTATGAAACCTAAAACTCTTGAAACATGGTATATAAATACCAAATGCTAAGAAGACATGTCTTTAATTAATTTACCTTTTTTAATATTTTATTTCTTTACTTTTAGAGAGAGAGGAAGGGAAAAAGAGGGAAACATCAATGGATGGGGTCCTGGCCCACAAGCCAGGCATATGCCCTGACTGGGAACCCAACCCCAAATGCAACCTTTTGGTTTACAGGCCCTTGCTTGAGCTACGCCAACGAGGGCTATTTTATTTTTGTAAACACAGTTTTAACTTAATAATGGTTCTTTTCTAAACCTCTTACCAGAACTTGGCCCACTTTCACATTAAAATTAAAAAAAACTAAAGGGAAGAAGTTGACATTGAGTTGAGAGTTGTTTAAGGCAGAGTCAAGAAAAAGAGAATTGTAATTACTGTCCGTGTGAGGCCACTTTTTAACTCTACCCAGATATCAAGAAAGTTATAATATTTTAAAGCCGAGTAAGCTTTTGAGTCATGTGTAAAAAAGTTAACCAGGAAAAACCCCGTGACTTATATAAAGAAAATACTCTTACTACAATTATATACAATTACAAATCTGCCATTCCCAAAATATTTTCTGATTTTGCTAGACGGAACAACTACCCAAGGTATAAAGACTGATTACTGAAATTCACAAACAACTCCACAACTACTTAAATAGAATCAGTTACTTCAACCCTTGGCCTACATCAAAGTCTTCAGAGGACTGAGATTGAAATCAGGTGATCTGATCTTTACAAAAAAAATGCGTAACTTAATTTGACGTTACTCTCACGATTATACATTGAGTTCCACATAAAAAATAAACACGTATAATTGTATACATGCTACAAAAAGGTATAATTAAGAATGCAGAATAACATATATCCTCAGTATGCTCTGTTGCCTTTTGAAAAGGATAACGACGGGAGCTTGAGCAAAAGGCACAAACGGTTCTGCAGGTTTGCTATTCCTAAAGGGCATTTTCACATCCAGCACATTATAGTGAGTCAAAGAGTCCCAAGGTATTTCTCCAATTTAGGATCCAAAGCCCCTGGGGTGTGAAAGGTGTGAGCTGCTGAGGTGCGTGTTAAGCTTCGTCGTTTTTCTGAGAAAGAACAAGGCTAACATCACCTCGGAGACCGTGCGGCCCAAAGGTTCCCCGCCCACTAGGATCCCGCCCCAAGGCCGTCAACGCCCACACCCGGAGGCAGGCTGCCTAGCAACGCCGCCCGCCCCAGCACGCCCTAGCCAGCCCCAGCCCGCAGGGAGAAGGCCAAAGGCATTGTTCTACCTCCTTTTTCTTCTGTCCTCCCCCGAGCTGGATGCACAGGAGCAGCAGGAGGAGAAGAAAGGGAAAGCTCCCGGTAGGCAGGTACCGCAGCCGCCGCCCCGCCTGCCTCCGGCGTGAAGGAGCGCCCCTGGCACCCATCGCCGCAGGGCAGTGTCTCCTCCACGCTCGGTAACCGTGCGCGCCCAGCTCCTACCGGCGCCCTACACCTGCCAGACCAGCCGTACGGAGCGCCCTGCCTGTGCCCTCGTGGGTGGCTGCGGCTTTGCCAGGGACCAGTGCGGCGGCCGCAGACGCGGAGGAGGAAACTGACAGAGCATCCGGTTCACGGGGAGAGGGGACCTGGAAAGGCCCGGGATGGGGCAGGAAGTGGGCGTGGCGAGGGATAAGGCCTCCTAGCGCCACGCTGTGCCACGCCCTCCACCCGTGTCTCCCCGAGACCCTCGCAGCAGGGGCGCGTGGTTCTCTCGCTGGCTGAACTGAACCCAAGGCTTGCTTGCTACTGAAGCCAATACTAGGTCCTAGGAATATGCGAGGGCCTGTGCGTCCAACACTACCTGGAGCCACAGACAGACATGTCTCATTGGATGGTGCAGAAGAGCTTTGAGGATTTAGTAAGGACCTGGCCACTTTAGCCAACGACAATCTCCGTTCTCATTGGAAATTTTTAGGGACACAGCTGTAGCTCACATACCCAGCCCTCTGAAGCCCTCTAACATAATCTGGAGAACCTGTGGGCTTAGTCGCCGCCCAAGACTTCACAGATGTACCTTGCAGCCCCGGTTGAGGAGTCAGCCAACCCTCAAACCACTTCGTTGATTCCTTTGGTGATTCATTCAGCCCTTGTGGAGCCCCAAACGTGCAAAGCACTGTACTAGACACTTTGAGTGCAAAAATGAATAGGACTTCAATCCCTTCCTGCTCTCTAACCATTCCAAGAACAATAGCAACAGACTATTGATTGTTTGATAGAGGCCAAGTACTGTTCTAGTGCTTCATATGTACACTTTTCTTCTTTTATCTCAAGATTTTTTTTTCACTTGGGTTGTGAACATATTTGATAGTCTGATGAAGCCTGTTGACCCAGTCTTAAAACAGTACTTCTAAATGCATAAATGAAATACATAGGATTACAAAGGAATCAACTATAATTAAATACCAATTATCAAAATTTTAAAATTCACCCCCCTCCACTTGGTGGTCAACCAACATTTGTATTTGGGAAATACTGGGGGCAATCTAGATGTGAGAACCAGTGTGTAAACATTCAAACTTCACTGCGTGAATAAGATTGAACAAGGAGCACAATTGTGAGAAACTTGACCTACTAAGTGACACAAAGGCTGTAGATAAAATCCCGAAATCATACCCATCTAGCAGCATATCTAATAGCAATTGTAATATATATGGTAATTTTGAAGTAGTGATGATAGTATTTTGAAATATCCACTACCATTGTACTGTCACATGAAAACATCTGTCATTTCTACTCGAAACAAAACCAGGTGCATGAATACCCTATTTTGTTGCCTGCCTTCAGGATTGAAGAAAAGATTTCCATCATAGGGTAATAGAAAAGAGATTCACTTTTTTTCAATTCGAGGTTCACAAATGCTCTGAAATTGCATGAACTCCAGATGCACAACTCCTGTTGCAAAACTACCCTACCGGATAAGTCCTATTATGGCAATTTTCAGATAAATTATGGCCAGAAGATCTAACTGAAAATCACATAACTAGAAAACAGTGGAGCAGAAATTTGAACATTGGCCGTCTAATCCCATAGTCATTCTTATATACCATGGGATGCCACTTTTGTAAAAGGAATTTACAAATAAATCTCTTTATCTCCCAGGCTTTTAATTTCCTATTCTTCTGTGAGCCTTTTTGCCCTTAGTAGTTATCCCCAAATAACAACTCCTTGCTTTTTTCCTCGAGACTTGTGAAAGCGGCCTCAAATTTTCTCTATTTGAAGACAAAAGTAAATTTATGATCTATAATGGCTAAACATATTCATTGAAATATACTTACCATAATCAAAATGTATCATCAGCTCCTTTCTCTCTCAAACAGACCTCAACTTTTTCGCTATTATGGTACCACCATCCTCCTAATGACCAATTTTAGAGCCTCAGAGCTGCCTTCCATTTTTCCCATTCCCTCCAACCATGCAGCATCTATATTCAGTTTTGAAGGTACTCTGCCTCCAGCATTCTAGGGCTGTGACTTCTACTCATTTTCTAATGTGAACACTAGCATTCATTAGAAAGGCATTAGACACCATTATTACTTCATCCTCTTTCCTTTGCTCATAATGCACTATTCTCCTCTTCCGTCTTCATCCAAGACTACTTAGTTTTGCATCTTGCATTCTATTCTTGGTAAAGCAGCTAGAGTGATCCTTTTAATACAGAAATCAATGCAAAGTATTTTTACTGCCCTTAAGCATAAAAAGCAAAGTTTTTTCCATGCCCTCGCGAGCCTACATTGCTTGGCACCTGGCTACCTTTGCAACTTCATCTCCAACTTTGTACTTCCTAACTCTGCTCCAGCCAGGCTAGCTAGCGTTCTTGTTTTCCTCAAGTACATCAACTGCACTGTCTCTGGCGTTCACAGTGCCATTCTAACTGGTGAAATTCTTTTCGTACAGTTAGATGTTTCTATGGCCTACTGGGTCATTTTATTTAGGCCAAGGCCCAGATCTCCTAAAATGTCCTCTCCTCTTTTCTCAGATCACCCTTTCTAAAAAAATAAACAAACTCCTTGCCTTTCACACATACCCCTTTAGCATTTTTATAGAATTTATCACTACCTGAAAATATGCTTTTGTTTTCATTTATTCCTAGTCTTCCTCATTAGGATTCAGACTCCATGAATTAGGGGCTTTATATCCATACTGTCCAGAATAACCCGTTTTTCATTTTTTACTGATGGTAGGTTTTTATATCCATTGATCTCTCTTTTCCCATTAGAATGTAAACTGTAGGAAGGCAGGGGCTTTATTTTCTTCATCTTTGAACCCACACTACCCAGAATGGTGCATTTGCTGAATGATGAGGTGAGTCCAGCCATTCTCTGTTCATTCCCTAAGTATGGCACTCATCCTGTCACTGTGTTTGGTCCACAGATTTTCAGTCATTCTTTACTAGGTCCAGAAGGAGGTCCAAACTATTGACAGTGGCTCATGGCCAAATTCAACCCTTCAGTCTTGCTCTAACACCACCGCCATCAAACTGGAGGGTACACCAAGGGCTACATAGACAACTGATTTTAAGAGAATTAATTTCCAAAATTTCAACTACTATGTGTACTTTCCTAATGACATCTACACACAATATGGATGAATTTTACAACATAAACACAAAATGAATACATTGGAGTTTGTGAAAATAAATGAAGGCCAACCAAATGAGAATAGGCAAAGGCTATGTATTCAGAGCTTGCTATTGCAAGGGAGTCAGCCACCATCATGTGAATTTGGGTGGAGAAAAGGCAGGCAGAGGAGTACAACAGATTGATAACAGAAAAAGGGGAAGGTTGCAGGCTTGCCCTGATTGGACGCTATTGGCATGCGGAAGCTGCAGGCAGGCTAACAAGAAGGACAACTTCTGTGATTGATTACTGGCAAATATTTGGCATTCTCTAGTTGGTCCTACGTTGAAAACAGGGACAACAGTTAGGGAGCTGTCATTATTTGGAGCTGTTACCAAGATTACTTATGGATCCCAGCCGAGAATGGGGGCTGGTTGCCAGCACCAACCATGTGATTAGAGGGATGGAAGTTTTAGTCCCACTCCTTGACTTCCAGGAAGGTTAAGAGGGGCAGCAGTTTCATTCAGTTGCCCATGTCCAATAAGTTAATCCTTTGTGGCTATGTAATGAAGCATCCGTAAAAATTTAAAAGAGTTTCCGAGTTGGTGAACACATGGAGAATCCAGGAAAAAGACGCATTTGGAGAAAGCCTAAAAACTCTACAGCCCTTCCTGCATACCTTGCCCTATGAATCTCTTCCATCTGTCTGTTCCTGAGTTACATCCTTTTATAATAAATTGGCAACCTAGTAAATAAAATGCTCCTTTGAGTTCTGTGAGCCACTCTAGCCAATGCATAGAATCCAAGGGGAAGGTCGTTAGAACCTCCAATCTGTAGCTAGTTGGTCAGAAACATAGGTGTGAGGATTTACAGGAACTTCAGTGTCATAACTTGGGAGCTCAGCATGTGAAATTTTGCAGTTTGAGCTCTGAAGTTGTTTCCAAGGCTTAGAAACCACCTGCAGAGCAAGCAGTCTCCCAGTGCTGATAGTATGCTTGATAAAGGGTACCCACTGCACGGTTGGTAAGCCACACCCCCTGTATCAGAACTGCTCAACCAAAACCATTGTTCTGTGAGCTTGAATGGACACTAGAACTCTGAGAACTGCTTAATTACATGTTACCCATTGTTCTTACCATTGAAATTTCCTTTGCCTTCGCCAATCAGAAAACAAATAATGTAAGTTAATGACCTCCTTTCCCTAGCAATCCTTCTCTTTAATGATGATTGTGTGCACCTTATGCCTTTTGAAATCCCTGCCTCCTCACCCCTGTCCCCATGTGGGAATGCATCCTTGGGTCATATCGAGGGCTCCATTCTCTGATTTGCAAATCATATACTTTACAAAGTATTCCTCCCAGTACTTCCAGTACCCATCTGGCACCATACATAGTTATTACAATATTTTGACTATATTCCCTATGCTGTGCTTTGTAAACCCCATGACTATTTTGTAACTACAGATCCACGCTTCTTACTCCCTTCACCTTTTTCATCCAGCCTGCTAACCCCCCTTCCACCTGGCAACCATCTAACAAACTTGTTCTATACATCTACCAGGTTTTCTTTTTCTGTCTTGAATGTTCATTTATTTTGTTTTTTAGATTCCACAGTTAAGTGAATTCATATAGTATTTGTCTTTCTATGTCTGACTTATTTCACTTAGCATAATACCCTCTAGGTTCATGTATGTTATTGCAGATGGTAAGGTTTCATTCTTTTTTATGGTTGAGTAATATTCTCTTGTATGTATGTGCCACAATTTCTTTACTACGCAGGTTGCTTTCATACTGTGGGTATTGGAAATAATGCTGCAATAAGCACAGTGTTTGTCTCCACTAGATATTCTCAGCATGTACCATACCAACAAAATTATTTTCCTAATCTGTCACTCTGTAACATTTCTCAAACACCAGAAAAAAAAAGAGAAATACAAATAGAAATATGAGTGAATAGCCAACTTCAGACAAATATTGAATTATCATTTTAAAGTGA